CACAAACAAATCACACATTACAATTGATTTACTAAGCATGCATTTCAAGAAAAAAGGAAATCTCCTTACCTTACTTGTCTCGGGTTCACCAAACCGATCTTTCCTTTCATTTTTCTTCTTCTTCCTTTCTTCCTTTCTTTCTTTCCCCCTTTCTTTCTCTCCTCTCCTTTCTCTTTTCTCCTTGGTAGTGGACGGATCTCTCAAGGCCGAGCCTTGAAAATTTCTTTAGTTTTCTCCACTTTGGTGCTTACATGGGTGGATTGCCCAAGATCACTTGCCTTTTGCCTCATTTTCCTCCCTTTTCTCTTTATTCTCTCTCATGATCGGATTGCCCAATGTTGCATGTCTTGGTGGTTTGTTTCTTCTCTCTTTTATGTGGTAAAAGTATAAGGCAATGCCTTTAAAGTTTTTCCACCCGTCACATTCATTTTCAACATCTTTTTCACTTTTATTTTCTTGGTTTCTTTATTCTATTATTTTCCTTTTTATTCCTTTATTTGTTCCTTATTCTCATTGGACCAACTCAATCTCCACTCACATTTCATGCACACATTATCTCTTTTGCTCATTGGTCTAAAATCTATCTTAATTGCCTTCCATTTGCCACTTCATTTCTTACTTTTATTTTTATTTCCTTTGCCACCCATTTCTTCCAATTACATTTCATGCACAACTTTCCTTTATATTTTATTTGGCCATTTATCCAACCAATCAAGTCTCATGCAACTCACATTTCACTTTCCTCATTTTGCCACCAAATGCACCAATCAAATTACATGCAAATAATCTTTAAATTTATCTTTTCCTTTTTCTTCACATGGTGGGATCCTCACATGTTCCCTACTAAGTTCTCCTTTTTGGCACACTATAGTTTGCATGTAATAGTAACTTTTACATCTATATCTCATACTCCTCATAATTTAACCTTCCTTGGTTAGTAAATATCCATTTTAACTTCAAATATTATAAATTACACTTAAGTCTTCAAACTTTTCTTTATTTATCGTGTGACCCTCCGAACTTTTCATCTTTATAATTCGATCCTTCCAACATGTTTGAAACTTCAATTTTCTTCTATTTTCCTTTCTTTACATGTTTACAAATATATTATAAGATTTGCACCTAATCAAGGTGTCACTATAATATTTAAATATATACTTACCCATTCGTACTCTATTTAATAAAGACGCGTGAGTCCATTAATGTCGTTTTTCTTCAAAATTCATTCTTACTTCTTCTCCTCCACTTAGATTAGTATATACTTCTTCTTCACAACTAACTTCGATCACAGATAAAATATTAATATTTTCATATTATTTTATTAATAAAATATTATTTTATTCTAAAATTTTCAACTTGTCACTTCAGAACCCAAAATGTCTCACTTTGTCCCTATTCACTTCAGAATTGCCTTTTTATCTTGTTAATTCATCTTCGGTAAACTATTATTATTTAATTATCATATCCTTGTCTACGGATTATTTTATTCTAAAATATTCTTTTCGCCTATCATCGCTCTTTTACACTTAAATTTACATCCATCAACCCTCTATCTCATCGATGAGATCATATTGACTCTTATACAAGGGTACGAGATGTTACAAAAGTAGACTTTAGGTGTACTAACAATGCACCACTAAAGACAGTGAGCCTTTATTGAAGTGGAGGAGGATGTCACGATCTCAATAGGAAATCATGTGAATCGTACATCATATGCTCTTAATGTGTGGAGCCATAAATCCCACATAAAAAAAAAGCTCTTAGAGAGAAGTCAAGGGAAGATATCATGGTAGAGCCATAAATCCTATATCAGTTGTGTGTGCTAGAGTGATACTAGATATTTAAGGATTTACAACACCTTTAATTAGTGAGATGCTTTTTTTGGAACAAAATCGTAAAGTCAACAAATCTAAGCAAATTATATCTTATGGGGATTGGTGTAAACCATGACACTCTACGTCTCAACAATTACAAATTCCTATCATGGATTCTTATTAAGAACTAAAAATTTAACTTTTTTTTTTTTTTACAAAAGACGATGTATTGTTTTGAGAGGGACATTACAAAAAAACTGCCATTCAATTGTTACGGATGCCCTTGTCAAAAACAAGTTTGACACTCCCTATTCAAACCTAGTGACATAATCAAACAGATTTACAGCTTACAAAAACAGATCTGGTTTTGTGTGTGTGTGTGTTTTTTTTTTTGAAAAGATCAAATGAATTTCATTGTTCTTAAAATGTCTACACAACGCGGCATGGGTTGTGGATGCCCTTCACAAAAAGAGGTTGAGAGTCCTGTTCAAACCCAATGGCATGATCAAACAGAATTACAGCTTACAAAAACATATTTAAATTTTTGTTTCTATTTTTGAAAGATCAAATGAGTTTCATTGTTATTAAAATGTCAACACAATGTGGCCTAGGCTTTCAAATATACCCACATCTGAAGCAATTTCAAGGCTAATGGCACTGTGGAAATGTGAGATCCTCAAAACACGAAAACGAGGGAGAGAGAAACGTGGGAAAAGAAATAAAAGATTTTGTTTTTTTATTTATTAACTAGTACAAATTATACATAATTATTTTAAGTCCTTAAAAGAATTTAATTGTATCTCGTTAACAAGACCATACATTTTAGTGACTTAACTGTCAATTCATCAAATATAATCTTAAATTTTAAATACTCAATTCTATAACATTTTTATAAGCTTAAAAATATCAATATTCACCAATTATGCAAGACATTCAAAATCTAATTTTTAATACTAAAAATTATGGTATATAATAATAAAATAACTAAACACATATGCATAAATCAAAATTAATAATCGTCCATGATAAAAACATTTCACCCTAATAATTAATCATCTTACAAATATTTATCATAAATAATAAAAATTACTATGAAAGTATAATTAATCATCCTACAAATATTATCCTAAATAATAAATTTTTTCTTTGGTTCTTTGGAAAATGTCTTAAGCCCTTCGAGAACATACAACTTTTTATGTGGTTAACAAGACTTTTTCCCATTAACCTGTAAAATGTTTTGTATTTGGAATACATTTTCAATCTTCAAAATAAGTGTAAGTCATGCAAATTTTTTTTTAAAATTATTTTATGTCAAAATAAATGGACCCTCCATTAGTATTTTCGCTAAACATTATAAGGAATATTATTTACTTTTCTGGTAGCAAACGTTCAAGATATGAGTACTTATATCATAATAAACATTAGTATTTAAAATAATATAATATTAGTAAAATAAAATTTAATTTTTATGAAAGTTACATATATAAACTTTAACTATTTATATCTTTCAAAAGTCATGAGCATAGTAACATATTATTTTAAAATAGATATCAAAATAATTATTGTGTAAGATGATCTGGGAATTCTTTTTCGTTTTTTATTTTCTATTATGAAGCATTTATAATAATTTCATTCAAAATCTAAACAAATTAAAATAGTTAAACTCGCAAATTCTCAATGAAAAATTTTTCTTTTAAAAAAAGAGATGTTGCTGAACTTGTTGAAAAAATTTAGAAAGAATTACCGATAAGGGTAATGTACCAAAAATAATGAGAATTTCCCAACAGGAAAATTATTAGTTATTAAGATCCAATCATAGTTGTTAAATTAAGATACATATCGTATATCAAAATCTTATTTTTGAATATCAAATTATAAGATACAATGAAAACTTTTAAAATTGATTAGTATGTATGTAAAATAAAGTAATTAAAAATTATATTTATTAATTTTTTGAGCATTGGCAACCCGTCCATCGAGGGTGGAAATTAATAGAATCAAGGATTATATTTATTAATATAATTAGTTAAGGATTATATGGTATATATTGAAAAGATGATGTAATTTTTAATTTAAACTCTTAATGTGCATCTTAATAATATATAATTTCAAATAAGATAAACATTTTCATGTTAATTTAATTAAAGGTTAAAAAATATTTAACATATCAAAGTAAAAAAGGTGAATTTGAAATTTTTTCAATATTCTTTTTGTCTAAAATCCAAATCTTAAAATTAAAATCTATAAAAAAAAAGGTATTTCACATTCTAACTCCAAATAAAATAAATTTTTACTAATTCAAAATAAAATAAATAAATAAAACGAATTTTTATGTATATCATTACACCGTACATATCACTTATGTATGATATACTTTTAATATTTGAACAAATACAATTCAACATATCCATTCATATAATTTTTTATATATATTGTATTGCATAATGTATAATACAATATTAATAACTACGTATCCAGCTATGAAAATACTAGTTCTGTACTCCAGAATCGGAAACAACCCCCACAAGCCTTTCGACAGGAACTTTTTCTACATCACGTCGAACCCCGATGTCTGAAACCAACCGGCTAAAACAATACATTCCAAAACCTACAACGGCCAGGCCGCTAAAGCTAGTTGTCAAATATCGTAGTGGTGAAGAAACAATGGCACTAGCAGCAGCTAAGAATGATGTCGCCTGCCCACTTCGACCCACACTAATGCTTGTCGTCACTAGTAGACCGGTTTTGCAATAGAGTGCAAAGTCTTCACAGTTGTTCTTGAAAATGTGGTAGACACCAAAGCCATTCCGAAGAAGAAAGAACGCACGATGAAGAACATCTTCTGATGAATCAGAAGCAGCCATAGTACAGGTTCCTCCCCTAGCTTTGGCAAGAAAGAAAGCGAGTGAAACATCATATTGGAATAGGTACAAATCGCCATCATCTAGGAAGCAGTCTAAGCAGGAAGAGATGACACCATCAAGCCTTGATTGATCATCACCACATACAAGGCAAGACCTAGGTGAACGTCGGGAGGGAGATGACCTGAAAATGATACCATCTAATACAATTCCAGTGCTGATTTCTCGCCCACCTCCTTGAGTGAAGTGGATCACCTTTCCCTCACCTACATATATCCCTGATATCATGGCACAAAGGTTGATGAGTTTGTGATTAGGAGTGCAGAATCATGTAAAGCTTAAGTTGTTTAATTTTCATCCTAAGCCATTTGGTATTAATTAAATGCAATTGGTCAACCATTACATATATGTTGGTCCTATAATCTAACATATAAGCTAATAAACTTCATAAAAATTGAAAAATCATTAACGATAATTGAAGGGACATGTGACTGGGATAAAAGTAGATTATTAAGCTGGAAGTTACTGAATGATCACATCTCGATGCAAGTCTTAATTAATCAAAATTGTGATTAACACCCAATTAGGCATTGTAATTTGAGAATCAAAGTACAAAATGCCCACATGCATACATCTACGAAAAAGTAAACTACCCAAAAGAAATATCTACATAAGCCAAAATTTTTCCCACACATGGTCCTACATACTAAAGCTGAGGAAAGAAGAAACAGGTTGCATGATTCTGTCAACCCTCTGTCCCTATCTTCCTCTTTCCCACTCTCTTCCTTTGTCTCTACACTGATTTTTTTGGATTAAGGCACAAAGTGGAGGATAGAGAGCCAAAACTTGATCGTGGGATGGGATTCTTTTAAGATGAAATGGTTAAGCATCTATATGATATTTACAATTTAGAGGAGGAAATGAATCAAACTTACCTCTGCAGCATTACATTTGAAAAAAGGTTTTCACCTTTTTGGTCATTTGGTTCACTGAGATTTGAAATTGAACACTCTTCGAAAACTGCTACAGAAGATCATAGTAACAGGTGTTCTATTCACTTGCATCTAGTAAGTAATCATCTAGCTTATGTTTTCTTCTATCTTGAAACACATGCATCTCTCAATCAATCTCACGTATTATTATCCCAAATTGCTTAATTTGGAAGGCTTTTGAGGCCCTATGTTCAAGTCGAGTCTGTCCGACCATTATCAATTTATCTTTGGTTAAATGTCTTATCATAGGATGAAGCTCAAATTCCATATCGTCAACAAATGACAAATAACAATGAAAACAAATCACAACCAAAAAAAATACTATCTTATCTAATCTAATAGATTAAGGGAGGAGGCACACAGCTCGTGTCCACCCAGCCTCACACGAAAATGGCCTTGCTTTTCCAGTAAGCTGATCATTCTTGCAAGTTGCAATGGATCAGTTTTGCAGGGCAGATATTTTATTCTCCGTTCTCTATCTGTTTTCCACATAAGACAGATTAAATGGCCTTGCTTTATCCCTCTCCTAAGATGATGCTTCCTTCCCAAATCGATTCACGCTATGACTTTTAGCACGATTTAGTTGGACATGTATAAAATCCGATAAGAATATATAACGCTTAAGCAATGAAGTTTATTAATTTCTGATTCTGATATTTGATCAAACACTCACCCAGACACAGAAACAACTCAACAGGGCAAAAGTAATTAGATCAGAGTCAAATCAAGCAATAACTACATACATATGTTGAGAACTTGAATGCAAGAGGATCTTTGTCGAAAAGGAAATGCAGGCAGTTAAGTTAGTTAAAATCGAACCGTGATGCGCATAGATGTAGGCCTGCCTCCACGAGTAGATGTGATCTCCAGGCTTTAACTCTTCTCTGGAAATCCTGTTGGACAAAACTCCCATTTTCAACGATCGAATTCTTCGCTCATTCCCATTTTCCTCTTCTACTCCTTTCCCTATTTCTTCACCCATTCCCGTTTCTCCTCTGCTAATCCTTTCCCCATTTCATCACTCATTCCCATTTTCCTTACACACTAAGCATTCCGTTGCTCTAGGACCACGTGGCTTCCCTCACCGTCAACGTCGCCTCCCCTTTTTATATATTTACTCGTTTTAATTTTTATTTATCATTTTAAATATATTTATTATTTATTAATAAAATTTTATTCAATTTATAAATAAAAGTTCTAATAAAAACAATTGACTTTCGTTAAAATTATTTTTCACTAAAAATATAATTAAGATTTATATAATATGTAAAAAGGGTTATACGTGCACGAATTTCATTCAATATTTTTTTTCTTAATTCTATCAATATTGAGTAATTTATAGATTTTAATTATTTATGAATTAAAATTATAAAAGTTAGAAAAACCTACTACTATTTCGATAATAGCAATATTTTGAAAAAGTGGATATTATTTTTAAATTAAAATAAAAATTCAATTTGAAACAAGAGTGTATATATATCAAGATAGGATAAGATAATGCTTATATTTCCCATCCTTGCGGGGAAATTTATTTCTCCTCCTTTTCTTCCCTTTTTTATTTTTTTTTTGGAAATCGGGTGAAATTGACGTCCCTAAATTTTCTTATTATTTGTCATATGTTGTCTTAACGGCGTGGACACTGTCGTTGAAAAATAAAGTTTAGGTCCAGATTGAACATTTTGTGATACTATAAGGACTAAAGGTGTAATTATTCCAAAAGAAAAGAAAAGAAAATTTTTGGAAGAAAAGGTTTATAAAATCTGCAGTGGCGATGTGTGGTATGGAATTGTAATCACTGAGGAGAAGAAATCGAGAAACGAAATTCCAGTGAGAAAAAATGGGGAGGTGGACTGCGTCTCTGGTTGCGATGACAATCCTGGCGGTGGGCCTCCTCTCAATCTCAGCCGCAGCACGACCCTGCAAGACCTTCCTCGTCTCCTCCTATTCCTTCTCTTTCCAAAACCCTAACGACCCTTCCTCCTCAGCCTCCTCCGGATTCGTAACCGTCTTCACGGAAATACGCCAATTGAATCCCATGCCGTCCGATCCCAGGCTGTCCTACGACTTTAGCTCTCTCCGTCAACGCGGCAGGGACATTCTCAGCGTGGTCGTCGCTCTCCTCTTCGGCGTCGGCTGTGGCGCTCTCACTGCCGCCACCATGTACTTGGTGTGGACACTCTTCTCTGCCCGCTTGGAGTATCATCGCGCTTGTTTGGAGGATGATGAGAGCGATGAAGAATTTAGCCCTAAGAAGATAGGGTATGTAAAGATTCCTGCGGTTAGCGTTAAGGAAGCCCTTTGATCACATAATATAATAACAATAATTCATGGATTGGTTGTTGTGTATTTCGCAAACTCATGTTTATGCTTGTATTAACTCTTTTCATGATATGTAATCCAAATACTATTGTAATACTTTCGATGCTATTTGCTGTGTGCTTTCTTCTGATGTTTCTGTTAAATTGCGATCCTCCGCATCCTGGGATGCAAACCCAAATGAAAAAGGATAAGGAATTGTCTTAGGAATTGATGCATCGATTATTGGAATTGTGTGGAAAAAACATAGTAATGATATCATGAGTTTTATTGTGTGTATGTTTTGTAATAGATTGTTTTTCCTTTCTTTGTATGTGATAATGTTAGAAATAAATCCTCTCTTTCATCTTTTAAGATTATTAATACTTGCTTATTGGCCTTATCTTTATTTGATTGTGTAGTGATAATCTCTTTATCTGTAGTTTTTGTTCTATGATCATACAAACATTTGAGGTTGTTTGTTTTCGTATGTTGTTCATTTGATTGAGTGCTACTGCTAATGATTTGTACTGTCCATCATCTACTGTCATCTGCAGTTCTGTAGCATAACATTATCTGGCATATGAAACAAAAGACAGTGTTACTTTGTTGGTATGTTTGGTGGTGCACTTGATTTAATCTTGATTTCTAAATCTCTTTATCAGTGCCAATAGGCATCAGTTAACATCTCCCTTTAAAAATAAAAGCCAATACCTCAGTTCACATATGTTGTTTCTAGTTTTGTTGTATATCCAATTATAAAATATGTTATAAATAACAGTCTCCTTAATATTTGGTTGTACTTCGGAATTGATTCAACACCTCACCTGACTAGTGGGACTTTATGCTGGTTGGATACTACAGTTTTCATGCTAGGGAATGGTTGTTTATTGGAGTTCCGTGAAGGGATGATTTATGGTATAAGGCTTAGTTAGCATCTAAGCTAACTTGTTTTGAGTCAATTTCTTATATCTATGTTTATTTAATTTAAATGAAGCTGACCTGTTGAAGGAGGTGTATGAATTGTTAAGGTGATTGTGAAGTCTCTACCGCTCTATTGTGGGTTTTGCCTCTATGTCTGGTTCTTGGCTCTTCCTTGAATTCATTCCCTGTTGTTGATGATGTGTTTGCTCTCTCTCTCTCTCTCTCTGATGATGATGATGATGATGAGAAAACGGTGGATATATTGTGATGATCTTGTGGCTCCTTACAGTGTGCATGCGATATGTCAAGAATTACAATTTTTCAGCCATGTGTTTTATTGTTTCTTAAGACTTTAAAGGAAAAAAAAAAGGTATCTCTTTTGTTCATTCTGATTTGGTTTTGCACTTCTTCTATTTAATGTTCAGGCTGCTGCCAGATACTTTGTTTTAGTTTTTTGTTTTATCCTTTTGTTTTTGCTGTTTTGTCGGTTGCAGTGATACCTTGATTTTGAGTTTTTAATTAGGTCATTTTTAGGTATGTTTTGATATGGGGTGATTTTATATGGTTTCAGATTGTTGTGGTAGGGTCTCTTTTTGAGGTGATGGGGAACTGGGGCATTTAGCAGTATCATAATGATGGAGTCATTGGTGGTTGCCTGTTTAGGTCTACTTAATTTTTTTTACTTCTTGTGTTTGTATGAGTTGAATATTTTTAATCCCAGCTGCACATGTTAGGGTGCTATTGCAATAAAATAGGATGCCCTAGGTTTCATTTGGTGGGCATTTTGGCTAGTTGCTCCTTGTTTTCAGTTAACAAAAGAAAAGGGGTGGGGTGGGGTGGTGTGGTTTGGTTTGAATACAGAAGCAAATAAAATTTAAAGAGTTATATACACAAAAGTTTGTTATTATTTTAAATGATAAAATGCATGATTTACCTTTTTAATGAACTAATTGTGTTATAATTAGTGTTATGTTTTAATTATTTATCCCCTTTAAATTAATTATGCTATGATATTGTTTTTCACCTTTTTTTTTTTGCTTTTTCTAGTGACACTTTAATAAGTAAAAAAAAAAAAGTATCCGCCATAACTTTATGTTCTTCTTCATCATTCTATTTAGGCTTAAATAATAAAAAAATTTCTTAAACTATGTCAGTTTATATATTTATGGCATCTAAAGAAGCTTGATTTGTTTTCAAAAAAACTCTATTTATTTATTGTGCTCATACAAGCCCATAAACCGTAAAAAAAAATTAATTGACGGTTACCAGACTTAATGTCAGCATTTTTTGTGCCTGTGATATAATATGATTCTTAATTTTTCATTGTAGATAAAGAGTTTAGGACTTACATGGATACAATATATATATATATATATATATATATAATACAGATGCTTTTTAGGTACAAATCAAATGTTAAAAGCTTTTTTTCTAATGTAATAAGCATATACTATATAACATATTGTTGTATAAGCTAATATAGTTGGAAAAGCCTTTTATTTACTTTTTTGGTCAATTTGGTCCCCAAAACATTCGGTGAAGCTTAGGTTTAGCGCTGTGAACAACCTGAGCCTATAATGTTGTTTAGGCTCGATTCGTGTTTGGTTAAAGTTTTTAAAATGCTGTTTTGACTCGATTAATGTTCGGTTGAATTCAAGATCCAGATTCGAGTTCGACCATTTCATTTAAACTAATTAAACGAATTTAAACAAACAAGTCTTAAAAGGAAAAACAACGCAAGTACTAATTAAAAAAAAAAAAGTTATAACATTATTAATTTATTTTAAAATATTTTTATAAATGAACAATGCAAAGTTAGTTTGTGAACATACACTAAATGAATTCTAAAATTGTATTTAAAATCAATCTTTTCAATTGAACAAGCTTGCTTATAATTAATTGAGATTGGTTCACTCTCACACTTGAGGTTGGGTTCAGGGTTAGATTTGGGAGTCTCGATCAACCAAGGAAGAGTAGGCAAAAGCTAATCCAAGCAAGGGATTTTTGTTGGCAACCCAATTGACTTCCTAGTCAAATAAAATCCACGATACAAATTATTTTCATCCGTGGAATAGAATCAATCAGTTTCTTAATCAAAGGAAAATGAATACATGAATAAACAAAATTTAGTGATTACAAATACTGAAACAAAGAAAGAAATAGTGTTTAAAGGCCAGGTGAAGGACATTCCCTTCTTGTTTTAGCTGTTGTTGAAGAACTTGATGTGTTGCATAAAGCTTTTACATTCACACCTTAGTTATCTTAACAAAAAGATGTTTTCACTACCTCTCCATGGATGCTGCTTTCAGTTTTATAACGCTAATATACTGGATAAGGGAAACGTCCCAACTACTATAAAGCCTTCGTGCAATGACGCAACTCTTTCAACTTATGTGTCTCTTTGTACACAGAGGAGCATACTAATGATAGAAAAAGGAATCAACTAATGCTTCACCTTTGTCAACCCCGAGCACGACGTCCACGAAGAGAACCAGAGCCACGCCGTCTTCCCTACATTATTAAATTGGATACTAGGTTACTAGGGATATATCATCAAATCAAATCCAGGAGAGAAAAAAACCGTCACAATCCTGACCTTTTCATTGTTAAACAGGTCCTCTGCAATAGCTTCCATTTTCTTTCTCTTTTTCTCCTCCTTAACAGACTCAGCCAACTCCTCACTCCCAAATTCATTATTTCTAGGATCCAGAAAAGGAAACACATCAACCATGCACACACAGACACACACACACAAAACAAATACATTACAAGAATATCCAAACGAGTAAACATATTGTGAAATTCAAATAGAGCTCTGAAATCAGGATCTCACTTGTAAGGATACTTCGAAAATGGAACA